TCAAAACATGACCGGGACACCATCACAACATGACCGGGACACCATCAAAACATGACCGGGACACCATCAAAACAGGACCGGGACACCATCACAACATGATTGGGTTACAATCAAAACATGATCGGGACACCATCAAAACATGACCGGGACACCAGCATCACATGACCCGGACGCCATCAAAACATGACCGGGACACCATCCGCCCACCAGCTCTGACGGTGACCCGACGGCGCCCGTCCGCCTATTGGTTTTGCAAGACCCCATAGCATGGCTATTGGGGAAATATACAGTAAGTACGTGTTCATACTTTTTCTGATTCTTCTGCTGTCGAAAGCCAAGGACATCGCCAGGATTCCATCGTGGGGATGCCGGCGGCCTGTCCGGGTCTTCTCTCGCATCGGCCCGGCGCCGGAGGATTGAAGGCAGACCCATTTGGGCCATGGTGCCTGGCTAACTCTGCAACAAAAGCTGTTGATTGAAGAAATATAGTGACTGCTGCTTGCTGGATTCCTTTCTTGAAATGAAATTCGAATCTTCTTTAAGTGCCAACTAGTGAATAAACATTGTGCATGCCACAGCCGTGCCTGTCAAATCGAGGCTTCCTGTATCGCGTGGCAGAGACTTGAGCAAAGGAGCCGGTCTTTCCTGCTCCTGCAGGAGCAAAGGAGCAAACAGGCTAAGCATTCCTGCTACAAGAAAAAGATGTGAAAAGAAATGAAAAAGCAAGGTAAGGCCCCTTGAAAGAGGCCTTACTGTACCTTCTTTCATCTCTTTTTTTGGTTTTAGGCTGCAAGAAAAAGAATCAATCAATTTTTTTCTGAGTCCCACCGTGTCAAGCACTGCTTTATATGCTCATCTTCCGATTCCTCCTCATCTGCAAGCTGAGATACACCATCAACAGTGAAGCTTCGGAGGATTGGCCTCATCCCCCGGCTTGGTGAGAACTTCCAATGACAAAAGTTCATCAAATGTGGAAAAGTATATCTAAAACCAAGTGTGAATCGTGAATGATCAAACGTTTCGGCATCTTGAAACCCATACGTAGTGAAAACCTGGACCACATGTTCTAATGGAAAAAAAAGAAAGACTTGAGTGAAGTATGCTATGATCTTTAGGATGGCAGGACGTCTCTGCCACTCTGCGCCTTGTCCGTGCTACAGGCGACAGCCAACCCCCGCCCGGGCCATTCGGCAGAGGATTCGCGGTTGGCAGCTTCAACGCCATGACAGCTTCAAATCTGCAGATCTGCTTCAAGGAGACGTGACCAAAACTATTGCACTAAAATGCTTCTAGAATCCAAGATTGCAATCGAAAACGCAATTCTCAGCATGAAGGTAAATCGCTTTGAATGTCACGCTGATCTTGACCTTGGCACATCATGGTTCCTATGTTGAGCTTCTCTGAGCCAAATGATCAGCCTAGCCCTGCATCAAGCATGTTTGAATGCGCAGGACCTGCAGTTGTTGCTGAGTTTGGCTAGTATTTCTCAGATCATGGACATGGACGTGGGTTGACGTGGTTGGGCAAGATGCCCCAGCCTGCCACTCTTGGCGCGTCACCACCCGAAGACAACAAAGGCAGCCGTAGTAGAACATGTCCTCACAGTCATGCGAGATCCTAGCCGCTAGCCAAGCAAACTGACTATGTTTCAACACTGTAATTCTTGTCTAGATGCTGGTACCTCTCCAACTACTGGAACTGGAATAGATCCTTCATGACTGGTATGCAAGAGTGTATGTGAGTTTGGACTCCGGCTATGCAAATGCAACAGCCTTAATGGTTGCAAGAACATATATCCCAGCGCAACCGTCTAAAATCCGGGACCAAGCAGGCCAAACAAAGGTCTGAGTCTACTGTCAACAGCAAGTACACCACATTCCTGCTTCTTTCATCAACACACTGGCTAACGAAGGGGCAAGTCTCCTCTGTGGAGGATGGGACTTCATCCAACTGGACAGCCCATGGAGTTGCCATTTGTGAGTCCACAGCCTGAGACAGTCTGTTGGTCCGATCGACACAAAATGTTCCTTTCCAACACTCAGTGTTCAGCCCAAAGGTTCGACTGCTCCTCTTGAGGCTTGCCACCCAGCAGCACCACGTCCGACCTTCCAACAAGGATAAAAGAGTGAGAACTTTTTGCAGTGAGAAACACCTCCGACAAGTCCTATCACGTTCCTTCCTTCAAACGAACATTCAGCTTCTGTCAGCTTTGGTGCACCCCCCTCATGATTCTTTGCACTGCAGTCCGCCTCGGCAGAGCTGTCACGCAACTTGGCATGAAGTCTGAGGTCTCGTAAATGCAGGAGCTGTGGCCTTAGAAGCAGCCTGCGCGACTGTCACTTTCTGGGTACGGTTACGGAACCCATTTTTCAGCTCAGAAGGTTTGAAGCCTTTTTACTACATTTTTTGAAAATCAAGCACCAGTACTATTGTGATTTGGGACAACATCTCGACCTATCATCACTGCGTCAGTGGCATGAAACAATCAAAGGGCGCTACAACTTTTGAGTCCCAAGCCGCCACCGGGCTTCGGTTGGATCAAATAAACTCGACCAGATTTGTAGACCTTGCACGGCCGTTTACCCGGCGATCCAACAGAAACTGCCAAATGTTGGCACAATTGAGTTGCCAGCACAAATCAAGTCGTCATCCTTCCATGTAGCCATGCATATGTCTTCGCTGTCAAGCGCATAGCTGCAAACCTGACACTGGACTCGGCAGCTTTCCAATAGGGAGACTAAGCAGTGGGCATGCAAGTGGAGCCTCCTTGACCGTTCCTTTCTGCAGATCACCCACAGAGTAGAGTGACCTTGGCAAATCACAGTCCCTCTCTGGACGAGTCGATGCCTGGACACAACAAAAGGACGTGCGAATTGTCGATAATCGTCTCATCAAATGGCGCTTGGACAAAACTGAGACTTTGGTGCCCAATCGTCAAATGTATCTCTGTCTGTATAATATGCCGAACGATCTGACGACCACCTGCTTTCTCGCGGCGGTTGTTCACAGTTGAGAAACTTTGACCATTTTCGCACCACATAATGATCCTCCAATCATCCACAAACTGCTAAGGCAGTCACACGCCACCACCACCCGTGATGATGCAGAGCCAAGCTGCGCCCTCCTGCACAACTGAGAACCAAAACATGAAAAGTTGTGCAGTTGTCCAAGACACTTTCTGACAAGCAAACTGGTTGAGCTACTCTGCTAGAAAAGTGCCGCCGCCCTCCGCCCGCACCGAAGGTGCTGAGGCGCTGTCAAGGGCTCGCATACTCACCACTAGTTGTTAAATAGCACATAGCTTAAGCTTTAGCCTTGGGGTTGCACTTTTGCTCTAAAATGCTGTGCGTTTGATGTTGTTTGAAAACGGATGAAAAATCAGCAATCCATCGGTGATGTAGGTTGGGCTGCCCAAGTGAAACTGCATTATTGATATCCTGTGCGCTTGCCCCTGTGGAGACCGACCGAGACAGACAGACCGAGACAGACAGACCCAGCCAAACAGACCGAGTCAGACCGAGACAGACAAACGCACACTCTTCGTGCGGGCGGCTTTGACCGCGAAGCGGTGTGAATATTTGGGTCATGTGGAGGCCAGCTGCCCCCAAGTGATTTGAACTAACTCCTCATTGGTAGTGACCAATGTAGGCGGAGTTGCTGTCTCTATCCGACCTGAAAGCAGTCTGGCCCAGGACTAATGATAGTCTAAGGCTTAGTCTAAGGATTCCAAGTGGCCTTGGCAGGTTAAGGCATCGACATTTAGGTGATGTGGTCACTTTCGAAAAAGAGGCGGCATCCTTGCAGTTTGTCACCTCACCCCCACACAGCCGTTCGATAGCAGGAGCCTGGCAAACTGTTGTTCGTCAGGTCCCGTGCCAGGCCGAAGAAGAACATGACAAGCGAGAAGTTTGACTACAGTATCAAGAAAAGGTGTTGCTTATATCTGGTAATTTGATAAACATCCTGCAGCGTTACTTGGTGTTCAAGAGCCCGGGCAAGCTCTTCGCCAGAGTATGCCAGAACCACCGTCTCCTGCCCCAAGAGTTGAAGAAATATGAAGACATCGCATGCGCGGTAAAGTTTCCTGGAGCAAGATATGTAACTTTCCTCCAAGAAACCGTTGGTGTTTGCCCGTGCTATGCTAACAGGGTGTAGCAAAATGCTTATCAGGATGCAATATGCATGCGGCCTGCGCTGCAAAAACCAAATCACATGCCGTGTTGTAGCAAAGCCTAGGCAGCAATCTTCTCTGGATTTGAGGCTGATGCAGGCGTATGTCAAGCCAAGTTGAGAAAAGGTCTTCCCTGGTCGGTCTTCCCTGCAGATGGGCGCTGGTGGGTTGCCCCCAGTCCCCTGACTCGCTTTGAGGCTGGAGCGAGGAGCAGGCTTTCTGTTCTTTGTCATCTGTGCAGAGTTGCACTCGAGGCCTCAGAAAGCCGTAGGTGTCGGACGCTTGGAATGAAGGGCTGAGGATTCTAAAAGATCTATAGTAACTATAGTAAGCAGTGGTGCTTCAATGCTTCCTGATGATGAGACTCTCATGCAGCCTTCTGCCAGGTGTTCATTGCCCTCCAGCAATTCATATGCTCTCTTAACAAGCTGCACTCACAAAAACTAAGCTAAGCCAAACACCCATGAAAAAATCTTGGTCTCTCGACCTCAACCTTCTCCATCTCAAGCTCCTCTTCTTCCTCCTGGCACAAACCCAAAGCAGCTGGCTCATAGACATCAAAAGCCTCGCAGCAGTTACCCAAGCCTAAGCAATAGTAGCTGCCACCATGTCTGTCTGGCAACAAACACACGGAACAAGCAAGACTCCAAGCCTCCTCCGCATACTCCTCTTCCTCCTCCGGCATGGCTCCAAGTCTCCCGAGCAGGGCACAGCCCGAGCTGTATAGCCAATCTTGGATCGCGTTTCAAGATTGAACCAAAATAGAAGCAAATCGACAGTGTGGCCTAGAGTAATCAATCCCTGAAACTAACCAATTGATTGATACAATCCATACGTTGATTGCTTGACCTGAAATGACCTCACTGCAAATCTCAGGGACTTGAGCACATAATCAGAAGCACTCGGCACTCGTCACATCAGAACAGCATTGCGAAGGCCCACCATCGCTGGAAATAAGGTGACATCTCATGCTGAGGCTACTCTATTGCATGTCGTTCCTGCTGGGCTTTTTGGGGGACTTCTCATTTTATCGCTTCCTGCTGGGCCGTTCTCTCCTGGCACATGGTTGGGAGTAACGTGTGCATTGAATCAAGTCAGCGCAGCCTTTCCATGGACTTCATCACAAGCCCTTCAACTTCCACAGTTTCTGCAGCCTGCATGCGCCAGCTCAAGTCATCCCTTCAAGACTCCATCGTAAATGTAGGCTGCCACCCTCTAATCATGGCAATGCCATTGAGTCAAGATGCTGAGACAACATATTTTAGTTAGTTGCGCCCTGTCTTTCCACCAACTGTCGCAGCCTCAGCTTCAACTTTGTTAGCCTGACAAAGCCGAACCCACCAACTCATGTTCAAAGCCGGCCCTTCCCGCCGCAGTGGGCTGCCGTGTTAACCTTTAAAAGCCACGCCTCCGGCTCAGTGTCACCCTTGACTTTGGGCCCTGGAATCTCGAGGCCTAAAGATTCGAGGGGTAAGGATTTATGTCATGGCACTTTTGTGTCAAAGCCCATCTGCCAAGGCTCGGGCCAAAGGGTTTTAGCCTCAACATTGTTGGACGAGCAATCAAACCAGACTTGTTGGCTTTCGAAAACATAATAGTAGGCTCTGCTCGGAAGTTCAATGAATTCAAGACGCTCAGGGCCCTCGCATTTCAGGCAGCGCCTTTCGGGCTCCCATTACCTGCTTATACCAGCAGTTGGGCAGTGATGCAGTGCGACGACGCTCTGCTGGGCTGCTGACGCTTGAGGGGTCACCCGTGAGGACTATGCTAAATTGAGGCCTAAGAGTGCACTACATGAGCAAAGCATGAAAGCGCTCCAAAGTGTGTGCCCTCCGCACATGATGTGTCCATCTGAGGACTTTGCCAGCCATCAGGGCAGTTCAGCTCTGTTCTCACCTCGTGCGTCATGGAGAACCTTGAGTGCACGCACAACATTGTTGGACCACGGAGCCCAGTCGGCTTGGGATGCGTCAACTTAAGTACGACACAATGCAACATGCCGTGCGTTTTGAGGCTGAACCAATGGTCAAGGTAACTGAAGCACTGAAGCCACGCAACTGGTCCACCTCCTTTTGCAGAAGTTCCCATGTCTCCCTGTCTTCTTGCTCCATTTGGTTGAGAACCTTATCGCTCTTGCACAGTTGTCAAATCATCGAAGGCAATGTTTGGGAAAACACAGCACAGTCTCACGGCGAAGACACAGCAAAACATCGTGGCTGATTGTAGCATGTCCACTGCCCTGAATGTTGAGATTGCATGTTTGGAACAAGAAGTGAGAAATTCTCTGTCACATACAAAAACCAAGTCATGCGACACTCACGCGGCCAATCGTCACATGGAGGACCTTATCACGATGCATTTTTTCTAGCAGATAAAGGACCGTGAAAAAAGCTTGCAAAATTGCAACGCGGAACAAAATTACATTAAAGATGTTGCTAATTGCATAGCAGCATAGCTCTCAAGCCAAGGCCGCGACACTTCCATTTTGCATCAAAATGTCTGTCCCAGGCTCCAGGACCTATGGCAAGGCCAAGTGAGTGAAAATGTTGTCACGCTGCTTGCCAAAAACTGGATCTTGAGGCAAAGTGACTTCCTGAAATGGAATGTCAATTGGAGCAAGCAGGTCAAGTGTCGCAGGGTTGCCTGAAGGACGTTGTCATTTTTCACTGCCTTCGCTTCACCTAAAAGAAGCTGGTGATCTTTCACGGACTTTGAGCAACCAACAGGTCCGATCAATGACACTTGAACTTGACCAAGAGAGTTTCTGCGCGACTTTCGACTCTGCCATTGACTTTTTTGAGTGCCGGCAAGCGACCATTCTCCAAGACGACTTCCCATCTGCCCTTGTCTTCATCGAAGCCCTTGCACACCTTGACCATGGGATTCAACAATATATTAATGTATACGCTGTATAGATCTGTGCTTTACAAATACAAATCAATCTGCATGGCTAATATGTTTGATATTGTTGCAGGCGTCCTGCCAGCGGGGCACTCTTGCGTTGGAGCTGAGTAGGCCATTCCAGAGCATGAGTCTAAGTGCGCAACCGCAAGGAGACCGTTTAAGTGTGTTGCCTACCATAGATCCGTGCAACTCATTGTAACTCGCTCAGCAAATGTTCAAAGGATTTTGTGGGGCTGGACGTTGGAAGCATTGGAAGCCGTTCAAGGCAAATGAAATGATGGATAATGATGATATGTTCTGCCCTTTTAAAGCATGAAAAGCACCTGCAAGCCCCGCAAGCGAACGCCTGCCATGCCGGCCATGGCTCCAACACAAGGTGCCAAGTGTCGGGTCAGTTGTGAGAAGAGTTGTCAGGACAGTTCGGACCAATCAGTCGAGAGGAATGAAGTCAGTGCCTGCGATCTCCCAGCAAACCAGTTTTTTCAGTGATCTACTTGGTCACTGCTGGTCTAACGAATGCTGTAGCTGCAAGAGAAGCTGAGCAAACCAATTGTATATGTGACATCTGCTCTTTTGTTCTGGATTGCCCATTGTGCAGTGAAACTCCATACTAAACTTTTCACCGCAATGCTGTCGACAATGTGTCAGAGCAAAGTGCTCTCTCTACCCAAGCGACTGGGCATTTGCAGTTGCCAACACAAACTACTAGATGTGTGGCATTGAGCTGTGGCTTGAAAGCCTAAAGCTGGCCTGCTACAAAATGGCCAGCGAAATGGACCAAAAGTCAGCCCTTCACCTGCTCTTCTGAAGTCCTCTCACTCTTGCTGTTTCCAGTGCTGAGCGAGGTGCCTGTTCTATAAGCACTGACCATCCCCGCAACATGATGTTTTGCATCTTCACACGCTTTGTCGGAAGCTCTGCTAAGATGCGTATGAAGAGTCTCCAAATAGACCTGAAGTCGTTTCACGGTGCTCCTGAGCCGAACGATAGATGATTTCCAGTTTCTGGCACCTTCATCTGCACTCTCCATGTTCAAGCCTTCAGACAATCCAAGCACATTTTGGTTTGCTTTCATGTCATGCAAAATATCCTGCATCTCCAAAGCTTCTTGTTGCATTGTGGCACCGACCTCCTTCTGTGCCTCTTTTTGACTCTTGAACACCTCATCCTGCTGCTTCAACATCTGTTCAAACCTGCGCACAGCATTCTCGTCTTTTTCAACCTCGTAACGATAGGAATTGTAGGCAGCATCAAGTTCCGCTTGAAGCTCTGAACTCCTCTCTTCATATAGTTGTGCCTCGCGATATTCCTCAAGCCGGGTGGGCAGCGTGAGCCCCAACAAACTCAATCAATAAACTTGCTTAACGCTAAGCTGCAACCAAGTTTCACGACTGATACGCCATGAATCCCGATTTCTTCCTCGCATCGAATTGTCGAGGTCTTCGGCTTCAAAACGTTCCCGCCTCAAAGGACAGGTCCGCGCTCTTGTGTAAAGCACAACAAGCATGACCACAAACCACTCGCTGGAACTAGCAAACCAAGCTGTGATTGTTTACTTGTGTGTGTGGCTATTCAAACTGCATTGGCACAAACCGAACTTCCCACAATGGCCCCTTCTATTGGCACTTCAAGTTATCAAATCCACAATCTGCCGCCACTGATTCGCAGTTCCCTCAAGAATGGCTAAAGTGAGAATCCCCCAACCCCGGGCTAGCCGATGCTGGTTCACTGTATGGCTTTAATGCAAAAAGCAAAGGCATTCACGATGAGTCATCAAAGACGTCAAAATGTTTGGTTGGGTTACTGACCGTCAACAATGCCACAATAATTTTTTGCTCGGCTGTGGCGTCTGCCTAGGCGTGGCATTGCACTGGGTCCGATGCTGCCCTCTGGCACCCACAGAGGCAGCGCTCATCCCAGGCTTGGTGTTCCGAAGGCGACGTTAGACAGTGGCAAGGCTCGCGCAGACCTGCTGAAACCTTTGGCGCCAGTGCGTTTCGGGCTGAGGTTTCAGCAAGCCGTGGCTTGCACCGGGTCATGTGAGGTTTCAGTAGCTGTGGCCTTGCACTGGGTCTCAAAGCCGCCCTCCAGCACCCAGCGCGTCAGCACTCATCCCAAGCTTACTGCCATGATGGTGTTCCGAAGGCGACGTTAGACAACGGCAAGGCTCGGCCCGCCAGGGGTGTTAAATTACGGTGCGGCGTGGCTTTGTAATGGGCTTTGAGGGTGAGGTTTAAAGGCGGTCTTGCAATGGACGGGTCGCCAAACTCATCCCAGGCCTGCTGCCTTTATGGTGTTCCGAAGGCGGCGTTAAACACTGAGGCTGTAGCAGGCCCGAAGGCGACATTAGACAAGACTGGTTGAAACGTCTATATAAAGGGTGAGGTTTCCACTACTGGTCTCGACTGCCAGCCTTGGGCAGCTTCGAGACCCAAGGCCACTCATCCCAGGCCTACTGCTCTTATGGTGTTGCGAAGGTGATGTTACATAGCGGCAAGGCTCGCCCCCAGACCTGTTGAAGCCTCTAGCCAGGGTGTTTCGGCGTAGCGGGGGTGAGGTTTCAGCAGACCGTGGCCTTGCGTGGGTCTTGAGGCTGAGGTTTCAGCTTTTTTGGGGTTTCGTTAGAGTGGATCAACTACCACACTCAAGATTTATAAGCGGGGTCGGCGGCGCCCGGGCGTGCCGTATGGTGTAGCTGATCGCCTCTAGCTTTAGCTACCGAGGGGTGCTCCCGATGCCGGGACCCCCCGCCCTTACGGTGCTTTGTGAGATCGAGCTTTAAAAAATATAGCGCTCTCGCCTCTCGCCTGCGTTTCGAGCCGTTTTTGCTCCTGGAGCGATTCCAAAAACGGCAAAACGAGAAATGTAACAAAATCCTTGAGCCTGGTGGGGGAGAGGCCTTTTTGGAGGTCGAAAAAGTCGTCAAAAAAAACATGCCTATTTGACAAAAAAACTTGGAACTGGAAGGGAGCTGGATTTAGGCCTTACAGAGAGCTTTGAAGCCTTTGTTCGGTTTGCGCCCAGGCCCAAAAAACTGTAAATTATATACAATGCTTTCGCAAATTTCGATCTAGAAAAAAACATGTCGCCGCGTTACAAAAATTGCGTAAACATCGACGGTTTTTGGGGCGTGGTTCGCGACATGCTGAAAATATTGCGTGCTTCGAGAAAACCTCGTAAATACCGTGGCTTTGAGAGCTCGATAGCTCAAAACCATCGGTATTTACGTGGCTTCCTGGCGTAGAAGCACAAAAAACTACGCAAATAGCATGGTTTTGGGGCACTTTTGAAGCCTCGAGCAGCAAAAAACATTGATATTTACAGTGTTTTCTCTCTCTTTTTGGTCATTAAGAAAGGCCTCTCCACCATCAGCCTGAGGGATTTTGCACGGTCTCTTTTTGCGTGCGCCTCAAACGCGTTTGATATGAGGTCTCCGGGGCGCACGCGTGCGACGCATTCGAAAGAAACATCAACTTAATAACCAAGCAAGAAGTACAAAGGCAACGGACAGCCAAAAAGATAAAAATAACAATAACAATAAACAGAACACGATAGCGAACACGCGCTCAACCGGCATCGCCGGTCTGCGAAGCTCTAAAATATCCTGTCTCTGAAGTCAAAAGGGCATCTTGTCATTTCCCTCAGACAGTCCACATCTCACAAGCACCTTCTTCACTCACGTAATTAAATTGCCCAAGAGAATATTCAAAAATAAAATTCCGAAGAAATCTCTTGAAGTCATGAGTCATGAGGCATTCAATGCCAAATTACTAGAGATGTGAAAAGCTTGAGAATGGACTGGGAGGAAAGCCAGACGCAGCTGACGACGGGGTGAAAGAATGTGAGAGAAGGCTCAATGCAAGGCAGGAAATGACGACGGAGGGACATGCTTGGCACGCGCAACAAAGCGCTTGAACCACACATGCGGAATTGTACTTAAAGGAAGCTGAGAGCCCAAAGCATGGATGAAAGAATACAGCAACCCACCTCAGCAGCCTTAGCAGCACCCTCCCCTTGCAAGGCCTGCATTTGTTGACATCCTGGTAATTCAACGTACCCTTTTCTATTGAAATGTCAATTACCAAAATCAATGTCTGCCCTGGTTTTGATGTAAACAAGGCTAACTCTGAGCTCGAAGGAGCTGGCTTTTTGTGACGATGTGACAAGTGCCAAACAATGTGGCTAAAGGTCATGTTGCAAGCTTCATATCTAGTCCAAATGATGTAGACATGGAAGTGTGATGTGAGAAAGTGGCAAGCAAGCAAGCAAGCAAGCAAGCAAGCAAGGGAAGGCAAGCAATTCACCAAACACCCAGCCTTGCCCGCTCCTTTGCGGCCTGAGCCTCTGTCCTTTTAGCCTTCAAATCCTCTGCGGTAGATTTGCGAAGTTTGGCCAACTCTTGTTCTTTTGCTTGGGCAGCTTGAAAGGCCTGATCTCGTTTCTGCGATGTCTCTTTCATCTCCTCTGCCAGAGCATTCCATTCAAGAGATCCTCCTTCTTGGCGGGCAGTCGCCTGCTTCAATCTATGCTGCGATTGTTCTTGTCGTGCCTTTGCATTAACATGTAGACTCCTCAGATCACTTTTCATAGGCACAACTTCCCTGGCAAAGGATCTGTAGGGTTCTACGCAGCGATCAAACTGTGCCAGGGTGGAGTTGATCAAAGGATGCAAAAGGTTTTCAATTGTGCTCTGGGCCCCCTCATGGTCACCACCGCACATCTGTTTGACTACATGTGGCAAATTGTGTTTCAGTGCATCTCGAAGCTGGTGAAACTCTGCTGCAGCAATTTCGCACTCATCGTGGCCGTTCTCCAAGAAAAGAGCAAGGCCTTGTGACTTGCTGGCAATCGTGTTGTGTTCGTGGCAACTCGCAGTTGCCTCTGTGTGTTGTGAATCCATACCGGCTGTGCAACTTATCTTTGGCAAGTGATGCAAAAGGTGATGCTTCGTCTTCTGCAGCATTGAACTTTGGCGGTGTGTTTCTTCCTGGACATCTGCTGTCTGTGATACGGCCACCCTGAAGTCTTCGAGCATTTCATCTGGGCATGCTTGTGTGTTGCAGGGAACGTCAAGGACCCGGTCCACGGAATCTGGCATGGGACAAAACCCACCAAACTCGCTCGGTGAGGCCACTGGGCGTGTCCGTTTCTGAGTCCCACCTCCACAAAGTGCACTGCATGGTTCCACTTCCCAGTCTCCTAACTCACAATCTTTCGGACATGGCTGAGCGTTGCAATCTGCGCAGTTGTCGGATCCATCATTGTGTGTGCACTCTTGGCCCCGAAAGCGGGCAGGTGCCAGGATCTTGAATTGACTACATTGACGACCACCCCCGCACGAAGCGGAGCACATACCCCAGTCAGACCACTTCGCCTGGCAGTCTACAGGGTATCCATGGAGCCATCCTGCCTTTCCAAGGTCCGCCACCAAGTAGCCAAATTCTCTCCACTCATGAACACACACATCAAAGCCGGTCTCATTCACAACTGTCACGCTGTGGAAGGCCAAGTGGGACCGCAAGGCTATCTTGTCACAATCTAGGAAACGCCGGACCCAACCAAATGAACACTTGTGCTGCGCATCCTTTCGGAGAGATCCCACAAAAAAAAAGCCTGTTTCTCGTTCTCCACCTTCCAGTATCCTGCATATCCACAGAATAGAAGCATCAAAGCAAACAAAATCTGGAGCCAAGGCCTCCCCGTATGACGTGGCCTGGTGTTGGGGATCTCAAAAGACTGGGGTGGGCTCGGAAGGTCCTCAGTGAGAGGCTCACAGATCGAATGGGACTCTGCCCGGGGAGAGTCCTGCCTCCCGGTATGGCCTGGCTTGGCTTTGGGGTTCTCAGACTCAGAAGACTGGGGCGGGTTTGAAAGGTCTTCTGCATCGATCTTCTCAAAGCCTGCAAAGGATTCTGTGCGGGGAGTGTGCTCCTTGTCATTCTCCCACTTCAGCTCAGCCTCCTGCGCATTTGCCATGTTGGTTGCTTTGCGGCTCTACAAGCTATCAAGATCTGCTTGCGAGCCCAGCACTGCTGCCACTGAAGGCAACACGAACACTGCAACAAGCACAGTGGATCGGTTGGCCACACTACCTACATGGCACTTGGACCCGAAGCCCACAATGTCCACAAGTAGCACAGACAATACGAACCTGGGTACTTATTCCACAAGGGCCCGAGCATTGTGGAGCTGAAAGAGCGAGTAAAGCATCTCTTTTGATTCTCTTCAAGAGGATTGAAATTCGGTCACTTCTAGCAAACCTTCCATTGCGCTGTGAGCAGCGCGCTAATGTACAGCTGTGATCACATGGCATCACCAGCCTTAAGGCAACGGAGTATGATCGCGATATCGAGATTTATTGCGGCTGCACATTTGGGTGCACTAGATGCTAGTCTTGCTCTGTTGCCCAAGACATGTTCAACTTTGGACCATGCACTGCATTAATGCTCGCACCTTCAGTGCAAACTAAAGATGAGCAGCGTCCTATGGCTGTTCTGAGGACTTGCAACATCCAAATCCAACAGACTTGCTTGGAGCCCTTCCATGGAATTGTCCACAATGCTTCATGGGACGCTGGTCTGAAAGGTGCTAGGATCTGGAAGCCAGCCATAAGAGCAGTTGCTTCCACAAAAGAATGTCGGTTGACATTTTCTAGATTCTACCCGCTTCAAAGTGTCTAGGCCTCTGCCTCTGGCATGGCCTCAAGCATCACAATTGTTGCAAAGAGAAACTGATGTGACGGCAAGTGCCAATCAACATGTACCTTGAGTCAAAAAGTTTGCTGGGCCAAAACATGGGAAGTTAAAATCCAAAAGGACCCCCCTCTTAGGCCTCTCTCGAAGATTTAGCGGGTCCTGTCAGAGCATTGGACGCTCAGCCAGCTCAATTGTCACAGTTCCAAAGACTTCTTTCCACACCGTCTAAACTTGAAAAGAAGCAAATGCATGTAACTACATAAGACAACTCTGTCCTGCTGAGACCACCCTGGTTTTCGGTGAGAAGCCATATCCGCGAGGTTGCTTTGGCCGACGTCCCTGCAACCATCAGTTGTGGGAATGGTGTGAAGTTGACAAGGGCTTTAGAACAAAAGTACGAGGGCCTCTCGCTTTGGTCGGGCAGCAAGTCCTTGGATCGAACTGTGAACCCTTGCAAAGAGAGTACCAAAGCAGCAGCGAGCGGGTCACTATAACAGTCGCAACGGCAACATGTCTTGCAAACGATGCAAAGGTTCTTTTCTGAGTTTGAATCGTCCTCTCGCATTCCCCCGTCAGAAGGTCAGAATGCCCCTTCTCTTTGGAAAAGTGGAGAGTCGAGGCACCTGGATCTTCCACCGGCGAATCAGCCTGCTCCGCACTGAGAGGATCTTCTGGCAGCTCTACCCGATCCGGAGGCATGAAATCTTCCACGACTGGAGCTCCTTGGTTTGACCATCAAAGCAAAAATGAATACAAAAGAAAAGTTTTCGAAAATATCTCTGCAAAGTTCAGAGAAACAGCGAAACAAAGCAGAACATACATGCTTCGCCAGGCTGCGTGGAATCTCCTCATCATTGAAATTCAGATCCTGATCCTGGCTGTCTTGGTGCTCCACTTCCTGCATCTCCTGCCCTTGAGGCTGGAACTGCTCGTGTGAGGCGACCTTCATCTCTGAATCCGAAGCGGTCGCTTCTAATCTCATGGACGCAGCTGTGGACATCTCCGCCATTGATGCAGGCCGCCCTGAGTGACTCTTAAAGGAAACTTTACAGAAACTTTAAGGAACCTAATAGCTTCCAACCTAGAAGCAATGGCCTCCAACCTAATAGCGATGGCCTCCAACCTAGTAGCAATGGCCTCCACAAATAGCGATGGCCTCAAACCCAACAGCAAATGCCTCCAACCAAATAGAAATGAAATACAACCTAATAGCGATGGCCTCGAACCCAACAGCTATGGCCTCCAACCTAGCGATGGCCTCCAACCCAATGGGAATGGCCTCCACACCAACAGCGATGGCCTCCAACCTAATAGCGATGGCCTCCAACCAAATAGTAATGAAATACAACCTAATAGCGATGGCCCCGAACCTAATAGCTATGGCCTCCAACCTTATGGCGATGGCCTCCAACCTAATAGCAATGGCCTCCAACCCACTAGCGATGGCCTCCAACCCCAATAGCGATGGCCTCCAACCTAATAGCGATGGCCTCCAACCTGCTAGCGATGGCCTCAAACCTGCTAGCGATGGCCTCCAACCTACTAGCGATTGGCCTCCAACC